CTGCGGGCGTGCAAGCCAGAGGGGGGGGGGGCTGCTGCTGCTTCCCCTCCCTTCGGCTGCGGCCTGCCCGCCCCCCGCCTCAGCCCGAGGTCAGCCAACCCAGATCCAGCCCGATCCAAGGAGGCTTGAGACCCTCCCGCCTCCCCTGCAAGGGAGGGCGCCCCTTTCTGCCTCTAACTGCCCCCTCCCCGCTTGTTCGGGTGGGGGGGGGCAGCCCTTCCACCCTTGCTCGGAGGAGAGGGGGCTGATGCCTTCTGCACCCAAGCAGCTTCCTGGCCCGTGTGTGGTGCCCCTCCTTCTGAGCCCCCTCCCCAAAGAGGAGAGCGGCTGGGCACAGAGTCCAACTCCTGGCCAGGGTGGCATCCTTGCCCTCCGAGGCTTCAGGGCCAGCGCCCGCCATCGGGCACCCCAACCCGGGCTCCTGGCCCAACCCCTTCTTGGCCTCGAGCCCACCTTTCAGGGTTGCACTGAGGGGCTACAGGCCGAATACGCCCGGCTGGCATCAGGACGGAAATAAAATAACAGCAGGCGTCCTTTGCCAGGCTTTTAAGGCGGGCATTTGGTAAGAACCGTCCACTCTGCCTTTGTGTGCAACGCAAGGAGCCTCCCGGTTGTTCGTGACTCCCTTTCCCCCCCCTTTTGTTTAAGGTTGAATAAAGGCTATTTCTGAGCGGCTTCTTCCCCTGTTCTCCACTCCCTGCGTTTGCAGCTCCTGTTCTGCCCTCCGAAGAAACCCAGGGAGGGGATTCTCTGCTTTGGGGAGGGGCCGGCTGGGTTAAAATAGCCTCTCAGGAGAGGGAGGCTCCCTTCGGCGTTTACAGCCATCCAGGCCATTCCAGCCCCCCTCAGTCAAAGGATTCAAGGGCAGAAATGTGAGTTAAGTTGGGGTGTGTGTGTGTGGGGGGGGGCAGAGGCGTCTTGGGCCCTCCAACGCACCTTTCCCTCTCCCAGCCTGAGTCTGGGGAGGGGGGCAGGAAGGGCTTCTGCTTGGGGGTGGGGCAAGGGACTTCCTTCCAGCCCGCCTCCCCAGCATTTGCGCCTTAGGCCAGCCCTGCAAGAGAGCTGGGGGTGGGGGGCTGGACTCCCTGCTTGGGGGGCGCCCTTGAGGGGCTGGGCCAGGGGTGACTGGCTACGGGGTGGGGGAAGGAGAATGCCCCCCCCCCCAAGGAAGAGTCCGGACTGGCAGGAGGAGCGATGTGCGTGTGGAAAGGTTTGCAGAATGAGCAACAGGGCATTTCCCAGAAAAGAGAACCAACCAACCAGCCCGGAAGCCTCGCTTGGCCTCCCCCACCTGGCTGATCAGACAGCCTACTGCCCCCCCCCTCCCCATTTCTCAATTGGCGATTCAGTTGAGGAAGGGGGGGGGGTTAAGCCAGCCAGGCGAGATGGGGAGCAGCAGACCCTCTTCTGCATGGCTGCTGGCCCTCCCGGTACCCGTTGTCCCAGGCAGGGCCCCCCTGCAGCCCCCCTGGTCCCCCCCAGGCCTTCCTCTCAGTCACCCTTCGGGATGGACAAGAGGAGCCTTCCTGATGAGAGGCTGCGCCCCAGAAAGGCCTCACCCTGCACCCTACAAGAAGATGGAGGGAGCCCCAGAATGACACCACCAAGAAGGGGGGCATCTGGTCATGGGAAGGAGGCGGCTCCTGCTCTTCATCAGGGGGCACAGGAGCAACCGGTCACCTCTCAGCCGGAGGGGCAGCGTTCCCGCTCTCTTGACCGGGTTGAAGGTCAGTGGTTGAAGGGCAGAATTGCAGGCAAACTCTGCCCACAGCCTGGAGTTTGATCCCGAGGGGCTCGGGGTTGACTCAGCCGTCCCTCCTTCCAAGGACGACCCAGGTTGTGGTGGGCAAGACGCAAACAATGCCCACCCTGCAAACTGCCCAGAGAGTGCTGCAAAGCAGGGCTCTCCAAGCGGGGCCGCTTTAAGACTTGTGGACTTCAACTCCCAGAATTCTCCAGCCAGCTACACTCACGTTAAAGCAGGCAGGCTGGCGGGGGAACTCTGGGAGTTGAAGTCCACAAGTCTTGAAGTGGCCCCGCTTGGAGAGCCCTGCTGTAAAGCCCCACCTAAGGGCTGCGGCTATTAATGCTCTTGCCACCAGCGCCTCGCCTGAGCAAAGGTGCCCCCCGCGTCTCCCTTTGGGCCAGGCCACGGGGCGGGGGGCCACCAGGGCTCTGCTTCCTGCATGGAGGCCTGGAGAACTGAGCGCCAGGCTGGGGAAGACAAGAGGACGGAGGCTGGGGAGCGGGGGCAACGGTGCCCGTCCCAGGGAGGCAGCCGCAGCTGGGGGGGGGACGGGGACGGAGCCCCCTCTTCCAAGCCCACCAGGGCAGCTGAGAGCCTGGGGGGAGACTCGAACTGAAGACCGGAGGGGTGTCCTGGGGGGTTTCTGCTCTGCACTCACCTTTCTTCCGAACCACGTCTTCTGACTCTGGCTTGCGGCTGACCGAGACCACTTTCATCACCAGGTGGTTCCCCCCCTGGCGGATGAGCGAGACCACCTGCTTGTGCCCCACCTTCACCACGTTCACGCCGTTCACCTGTGCGGCAAGGAGAGAGGGGATAAGGAGGGGAGGGGCTGGCCCCCTTCATGGGACCTCCCCAACCTCGCAGGCAACACCTGGGCCCAGGTGCCCCTGATCACAGGCGGAAGACCCGTGAGGGAGGGGCTGCTCAGGGTGCTGAGCCCCCCGGGACCCCCCCTCCCTGGCCTGAAAGGAGCCCCTCTCCCCGCTGTAGCTCTGCCTTGTCGGCGGGGGGGGACTGGCCCGATGACGCTGGGCTCACAGCCGGGGTCCGGCTCAGACCCTCCTGTTTTTCCGTTTCCAGCCATCAAAACCACCAAGATCCACTTGAGCAAGGAATATTTAATACCGAAATGGCCCCAATAACTTTCAAGAAATCGCAGGAAGTGATTCACTATTTGCCCTCTCATATAATAAAGAATTCTATTTATCCACCCAAGCAACAGAAAACAATTTATGTTTTCTCTGAGCTGAAATAATGACGTATTTATATTCAGCTTCTGAAGTTTTTCCGGTGAGCAAAAGAAGAAGAGGAGAAAAAGAGAAAAGGGGAAGGAAAAAGAAGGAAGTGATCTGGTCAATTCGCTCTCATCCTGGGTTCCTTTGAGCCACACGGTGGAGGGAGGGTTTGCTTGGGGCGGGAAGAGTTTCCGGCTTCTCTGGAGGGAGGACCCCACATGGGCCCTGCACCCCCCGAGGGGAAAGACGGCCCCACCGGCCCCCTTGGCTCCTGCCAACACCCACAGAAACAATTGGCTCTAAGATCAGAATACAGAGTTACAAAACCAAACCCTTGTAATTGGGCATTTCCTGGAGAAAATTGAGACGTTTCATGACCCAACTACATAACATTATCAGGGCTAGAAGGGAAAGGTTTTATTCTCTATATATATTTTCTTAAGTTTTCGTGGGTACTTACATGTATGGCATTTGGCTTTGTTCGGGTATTTTCCCACGTCATTATAGTTGTGCTTTTAAAGTTGTAGCATACACACACACACACACACACACACACACACATATACATACATACATACATACATACATATACATATACACATATATACACATATATACACATATACAAATACATATACACATATATACACATATACAAATACATATACATGTATGTATGTATGTATGTGTTTTGCTCTGTCAGTTGGGGGGGGGGCTCCTGCTGGTTCCCCAGTCAGACTGTTCTTTACTGTTTGTCGGAGGTGGCAGTTCCTTGACTGGGGTATAAGCAGAGAGCAAACCCCACTCCGTTCTGGCACTGATGATGTTACACACTTGGGTCATAAAATGTCTGCAAGAAAACTGCCAAAAATCAGAGTACCCAGAACCATTTCCCCGCACCATTTCTGGCAGAGGGCAGTCCTCCAGCCTCTTCCGGAAAGCCTCCAGGGATGATGTTCCCACCACTTCCGAGGGCAACCTCTCTCTCTTCCAGGCCAGGGACTTCAATGCCAGACGGGCAAACAGGCCCCCACGCGAGCGGCGGGTGATCCGTCTCTGACTCACGGGCTCCTCGTTCATAAAGGAAGCCGTCTTTTCAAAGAACATTAGTCAGTCCTTCGATGCAGAGGAGGAATTGGGGGGAGGAAGAGGAGGAAGGAACCAGCCATTGATTGCCCAGACAAGAGGCATGTAAAAGAGGACAAGGATCAGCCGGGAAACCTGACCCAAAATGCCACTTCAGAACCGGATCCTGTCCTAGAATCAAGGTTGGTCCCTCAGGGGGAGGAGGAGGAGGAGGAGGAGGAGGAGGAGGAAGGCTTCCCTCTGCCCACCCAGAGTCGGCTGGTGGCCCCAAACAGGAACTAAAACCAATTGGTGGCTCCTGAGGAGCAGAGAGAGAGCGGGACGCCTCAAGGAAGCCAGCCAAGCCTCTTCCCCCTTTCAGTCCCTGGGCCGTGGGAAAGTGGGAGGGAGACGCCAGGGGACAGCCCTTGGGCGGAAATGGGAAAGGGGGGGATTCAATTCAATTCAGAACAGAGCGAGAAGGGACCTTGGAGGTCTTCTAGTCCAACCCCCACCCGCCCAAGCAGGAGACCCTAGAGCATTTCGGACCAATGGCTGTTCAGTCTCCTCTTGAAGACCTCCCGTGACGGAGCTCCCACGATTTCTGGAGGCCAAAACGGTTCCTCCTTAGTTCCCTCCTGGAATTGATTTCCTCCCAGGGCTTCTTGTCCTGCCCTCAGGGGTCCTGGAGAATAAATGGTCCCCCTCCTCTTCTTTGGAGGCAGCCCCTCCAATACCGGAAGGCTGCTATCCTGTCACCCCCCGGTCCTTCTTTTCTCTAGACTGGACATCTTCATTCACTGCCTACGTTTCTTCCTACATTTTAGTCTCCAGGCCTTGAATCACCTCTGAGTTGCTTTTCTCTGCACTTGCCCCCAAATCGCCCCGTCTTTTTTGTGACGTGGTGACAGAAACTGGATGCAGGATTCCAGGTGGGGCCTTCCCTGCCCCCTTTCCAGAAGCCCCTGGCAGCCTTTCCGCTCCTTTCAAATGGGGGCAGGTCGGCCCCTCTCCCCCCCAGGTCCCCCAATCCCCCCAATCTGGCCGGGGAGGGGGCAGCCTTCTCCCAACCTGGCCCCTGGCACCGGCTCCCTCCCTCGGGAGCAGCCTTCCGTAACGACACGCCTCGCTTTAATTTTTCTCAGGGAAATGAAACATTGGTTCAAAATAGAAATGGTGAGTTCAATGCACTGAATGTCATTTCTCCTCAGCACGGAGGCAAAAATAACTGGTTTTGCGCATTGGAAAGAAAAAAAAATATATTTCCAGCAACAGCTTCCCAAAAGAAGAAAGAAAAAGAGGGGCGTTTTTTTTAATCCAAAGATCTGATCCAGCTAACCTAGGCCAGGGATGATGGGAACACCTGCTGGGGATGATGGGAACTGGACTCCCCTCACTGGCTCTCCACCCTTCGAGCACCAGGGGGCTGCTTTGCAAAAGGCTGCCGGGGGGGGGATGCAGTCTCCCTCCAGGAGGAGCAGGGGCCACCCAGGAGACCAGCTCGCCCTTTCCGAAGGTCCGAATGCCGGCCTTCTCCAGCCTCTGGGCCCAGCCGAGCGTTCACACCTCCGGGGAAAGCAGGCTCAGTTCCGGCTCAGTTGGCTCAGCCTTCTGTCCTTCCAAGGTGGGTCGAGGGAGGAGCCAGTTGTTGGAAGGGCAAGGGGCTGACTCTGCCAACTGCCTAGAGAGGGCTGAGGAAGTGGTATATAAGTCTAAGGGCCTTTGCTGTTGCTCTGTGTCCAGATCTCACTCCGACCAGGCACTGAATATTGTCCAAGCAAGTTTGCCCTCCCGCTGTCTGGAATTACCTTCAACCTGCTTCCAGGCCATCACGTCCTCTCCTGCCGGGAGCTTTGTAGGGCGATAGGTTTACACCGGGGGAGTCCAATTTGGCAACTTGAAGACTCGAGGACTTCAACTCCCAGAATTCCCCAGCCAGTCATGGCTGATCAGGCAGCAGGGACCACGCAACCAGCCCTAGATAGGAAGTGGAATCCCTCAAAGAGTCCCACCTAAAAAGTTTTGATTAATTGACCACATGCCATCCATTCATTCTTGACCCTTAGGCACCACGCAGGTCTTCTCCGTGATGTTCTGGGCCCAACTTGGCCCTTCACCTCTTCCAAGGGTGCCCTGTCTATCCACCTGTCCGCTGGCCAACCATTTGCCTTCCAATTTTCCTAGCGTAACATCTGGATGTTCTCATGGGAAACGCAGATGCAGGTCAGGACACGACCTGGTTAGAACATGGTGAAGGAGACGGGCTCCAGGTTGGCCAAGGGAGGAGGTAAGGTCTTAATTCCAGGTGGAATCCCCTTCTAAGACCCGGGAACTTCTGAAAGACCCTCGTTTTCCCACGTCGGTTTCTATCCTCAGTGCCTCTACAGATGTTCCTGTCATACCGCTTCTTGTCTCCCTTAAAAGGTCTCCGGAACTCTTCCTTCAATTCCCTTCTGAGAATGTTTCTTCCTTGGCTCCGGCTTCTCTCCTCTTCACCATTTCCACGGTTTGTTCTCATATCTGATTTGCTTTCTCCTTGTTTCGTCTCACACTCATCACCTTTTCACATTCCTCCTTAAAGACTCCTGGAGTTCCTTCTGTGAGCTCCAGGACTTCCAGGTGGTTCCCGGTTCTCTCCTCGAAAGCGGTGGGTCCGTGGCCCAGGTCGCATTGTAAAAGCCACGGGACAGTCCAGATGTTCAAAGCGGAAGATTCTGATTTACAGCCCTAGGACTCGGACACGGCACTCAATCTGCATTTTCTTCTCCCAATTTCCACCATGGAGAAGCAGCCCCAGACAGTCCCGAGATGTTCGCAGACCCCTCTCTGCCTTCTCATGGGCAGGCTCAGCCTCCCAGCTCCTTTAAGGCTTCCTCACAGGGTTGGTGTCCAAGCTCCTGCCGTGTCTCTCTTAAGTCCAGTGCCCAGAAGTGATGGAGAGTGACTGGGCCATCTCCAGATGCAATGGAACTGCTGGCCTCGCCTGGTCTGGCTGTGATGCTTCTGCTAACTGGGTTGGGGTTCTCCCAGGGCCTTCTCACCTGCACTACGGCCAAGGCTTCCCAATCCTACCTTCAGAGAGACCCCCTACTCACAGAGCACAGGTCAAGGCTGCGATGCCCTGAACACCCTCTGGCCCGAAGAAACGGTAGCCAGTTTCATTGCCTCGCCTCCTCCCTTGCCCTCCGCCGTATCCTGCTTTTGGCAGCACCAGAACATGTGACGAGCCACAGCCTGCTTTGTGGAGAAGGCAACAGCCACAGGTCCAAGAATTGGTTTGGGACCGTTCCATACTTGGCGTGACTTCTAGCGGAGACACTCCTTTCAAAACATATTGGGAAACCCCCAGCCAGGCAGGGAGGAGGCCTCAAGCGGGGAATTAGCCTGGAATCCTTGCATAGCTGCAAGTGATCCAGAACACACACACACACACACACACACACACACACACACACACGAGCTCCATGGACCCTTAACTGTCTGTTCCCAGGCAGATTCCTTTGTAGTAGGCAGAATATAATAAAATAGTTTGCTTGTGGATCCGGTTGCTTGTGCCCAAGAACACACCAGCTTGACAAAACACAGCTACTCCAGTGACACACACACACACACACACAGCTCAATCTCCATAATGTCAAGTTGGCCTTAACAGGCAGCGCACTTGGCCACCGAGAGATCCGGGGAAGGGCACATATATCAGTATAGATACCTCCAGGTGGCCCATGGGAACCCTCCCAGCTGACTGATGTAGGCCCAGGGACTGGGGGGTCCAGAGAGCTCCAAATATTTGTCATCGGCCTGGATAATCTGCATAGTTCTGAACCAAACTGTCCACCAGCCCCCCCCCCCCCCAATTCTCCTCTTTATATCCAGGTAAAGGAGGCCCCTGGATTTTACTCCGCTACTCAATGCCGACTCTAGGGGGCGCTGCTCATCTCCATTCCGAGGCCATTGGCGCAGCGCTGTCGGAAGACGTTTCCTTGGTCATGTGGCCGGCACATCACGGAGCACCATTAACTTCCCTTTAAACCCGGCAGTACTTTATATATCTGGACCTAAAGGTCATAATATATAATGACCTAGAGGGCAGAGGAGGCCCCACCCTCACAAGGCCGCCATTTCCTCCTCCTCCTCCTCCTCCCATTCACCCCAAAGCTGCTTTCCCGCTCATTCTAGTTTTGGGTTGGACTCTCCGACTTTCCCCCCTAGAAGAGGAGGGAGGCGGCTAGTCCGAAGTAAACGCATGGCGGCCATTGGGAGACATCCACTTCGCCCAGGAAAGGGTGAGAAGGAAACTCAAGACGGATTTTCTTGGGGGTAAGAAGGAAGGAAGGGAAAGAAATGGCTCTCAAGATTTGGCTTACAACCACAATTTGGAGCCCAATATTTCTGTTGCTAAGTGAAAAAATTGTTAAGTGGGTTTTGCCCATTTTACAACCTTTCACAGTTGTTAAGTTAGTCACACGGTCGCTAAGTGAAGCTGGCTTCCCTCTTGACTTGGCCTGTCAGTCGGTCACAAAAGGGGATCACATGACCCAGAACACTGCGACCGCCAAAAATACTAGCCAGTTGCCAAGCGCCTGGATTTTGATCACATGACCCCAGGGAATGCTGCCACGGTCGTAAGTGTGAAAAATGGTCACTTTTTCCAGTGCTGTTGCAACTTTGGTCGCTAAATGAACAGTCGAGGACTCCCTGTATTCTATCCTCCACCAAGAGCATTCCTTATGGCAGTGGGGGGCCAACCCTTTTCGGCACAGAAGGCCGTACAGAAGCACCGGAAACCAAGACAGCAGCTCCCTGATGCGTGGGAGCGCTGGAAACCGGAAGCTCAGCTTCCCAGCACGCACATACGGCCGGCCACCTGGTCCTCCAGTTTCCAAGGCACATGCACACACACACGAAGACCAGCTGGCTGATGCACTCATGAGCTCTGGGGAGCTGCTCTTCCGGTTCCTGGCACTCCCGTCCGTGCGAAGACCAGCTGGCTGGTGTGCATGCACGGGCCGGGAACCGGAAGAGCAACGAGCAACGCCTGGCGTGCCCAGAGACATGGCTCCCTGCCTGCCACTTCCGGCTGGCGTGCCATAGGTTTGCCCTCACAGCCTTATGGTGTCCCATGGAAGGATGTGGAGAGGAAGTGAAGCCTCCGAAACGCCCCGGCCCTTCGTCTGCAGCACCGCTGGGCCAGGCGGTTGAGCCCGGCAGAAAAGAAGGGGGCATTCGTTCGCACGAGGCCACCCCAACTCATCCCGGAGGAAGCAAAAGGGTTGGGTGCCACCGGTGACAACCGCAGGGGATGCCCGACCAGCAAAAGGATGGAGGGGGCCTTCCTGCCCCAATAGCTGCCCCCTGCCCCATCTGTGTCCCTGTACTGAGGGGCCTGGGACCAGTTATCAAAGGCTGGATTTGAAAAGATGCCATAGCCGACCGTCACAGAAGGAGCCAACCCAGAGTTTGTGGCCCTGAAGGAGAACCTGAAGAGACGAGGTTCCCTTTTCCTCCCTGGAGGTTTCCCTCTTTGTCCTCATTTTCCCTTTCAGCTGATACCTTACAGAAACTGAACCCTGAATGCCCCGTTCCCAGCGGTGGGGAGACACTCTAGGGCAGGGGTCTCCCACCATGGCCACTTTAAGACTTGTGGACTTCAATTCCCAGAGTTCCTCAGCCAGCACAGCATAGCTGAGGAATTCTGGGAGTTGAAGTCCACAAGTCTTAAAAGCGGCCAAGCTTGGAAACTCTCGATTGACGGAGCGTTTCTGCTCCCTGCACAAGGTGACCGTCAACCAGCCCCTCCCTTCCCAATGGTGCTCAGCCCCCCCTCCCCTCCTGCCCCCGCCCCCCGGGTCCTGCCAGGGCCTCACCTCGATCAGGAAGTCTCCTGTGCGCAGACCTGCTCGCCACGCCACCCCCTCCACATCCACCGATTCCAGGTACTGCAGCGCCGGGAAAGCAGGCGTTGGGGTGAACTCCTCAATTGGCGTCTCCGCTGAAAGGAAGAGGAGGAAGGGAAAGAAAGTCCATCTCAGAAGGAGGGAGAGCCTCCTTGCGTGGCTGACGGGGAGCAGGCGGCTTCTGCCTGGCTGTCCAGACACTCCAGCCCCTCGGCCACACTGCCGGGGCCTCCAACGGCCTTCGGCCTGCGGCCGGGGACCCCCGAGATGTGGGGGGCCCTAGTCCAGAGTCACGGGGGGGGGGGGGGGGGGCTTTTTCCCAGGGGTCAGAGAGAAAATGGGGCTTGGAAGGTCTGGTGGGCAGGAAGAGAGCAAGTCGGACCCTCCCTAGCAATTCACAGACTGAATCTATAGAGATGGCAGGTATTCGCTTTGCTCCAGCAAGAGTCTGTCTTACAGACCTCCAACTCTGACGATCTGTATCGGTAGGTGAGCAACTGCTACCCAGATGTGGCTCCCTGTGTCGTCACTCCTTGCGTTGTTCTCAGTTTTATCAGCCAGACAGGAAGGCTTGGCTACACACAAAGTCTCTATACACAATCTCTTGACTGGCAATTTCTATTCTCCGGATGCAGTACTGTTGAAGACCATTACAACATATTTTTACTTGAAGTCAAAAGAGTCATCAAACTATGTGTACCAATAACAACTCGAAAAACCAGAAAAAAACAGATTATCCATAACAATAAGGAACCTTCAATCCAAAAAGAAATCACTTCGGTGGAAAAACAAATCTGGTCACGTTTCCAATTTCAAAAGCCGATACAAAAATTTATGCCACCAGATAAAGACTGAATGCACCAATTATTACATTAAACAAGAAGAAAACCTTCTACGCACCAATTCCACCCGCACTTTCTACAATTTTGTAAACAACAAACTAAAAGACTCAAGGTCCATCCCACCCCTGAAAGGACCTAGTGGTAAAGACTGCAACGACGACACCATTAAAACCAACCTCTTTAATACATTCTTTGGCTCAGTATTTGTAAACAGCAATGGATCATGCCCAGTATTTCCTAGCCGAACCACAGACAACTACAATGATCTAATACATATCGATTTTACAGAAAACAATGTTGAAAAAGCACTACGCAATCTAAAACCATCTCTATCCATTGGACCGGACGGAATATGTGCCTACTTCTTAAAAAAGCTATCCACTGCCATAGCCGAACCTCTAAGCATAATCTTTGAAAAATCTTTCAGGACCAGCTCCTTGCCAAAACTATGGTCACAAGCCACGGTCATCCCCATCTTCAAAAAGAGAGACCCCAGCCTAGTTGAAAATTACAGACCAATCTCCTTATGCTGCATCACCTGTAAAATCATGGAATCAATTATTAACCAATCCATTATCCTCCACTTAGAGACAAACAACCTACTCTCCAATAAACAATTTGGTTTCAGGAAAAAACTATCCTGTAATCTGCAACTCTTACACTGCAAAAACATATAGACTACACAACTCAATCAGGGCAAAGCAATAGACATCTACATAGACTTCTGTAAAGCCTTTGATTCAGTGGTACACAACAAACTACTCCTAAAACTAAAATCTTACGGTATCTCTGGACAGCTGCATAACTGGATAGAAGCATTCCTGTCAAACAAATGGTCAAAATTGGGAGTGTCCTATCAAATTCTGTACCTGTCAACAGTGGTGTCCCCCAAGGCAGTGTTCTAGGACCAACTCTCTTCATACTCTACATAAATGACTTCTGTGATCATATTAAGAGCAACTGCATTCTCTTTGCTGATGATGTAAAGCTATTCAACACCACAGACAATACTGTTACCCTTCAAAAAGACCTCGACTATGTATCAGAATGGTCAAATAAATGGCAACTTCAAATCTCAACAAATAAATGCTCTGTCTTACATATTGGCAAAAAAAATCAGAAAATAAAATACAAGCTAAATAGTCAAGACCTTGTTGATGATCCAAACTCTGTCAAGGACCTTGGAATACTCATCTCTAATGATCTAAGTGCTGGAGCTCACTGTGACTACGTAGCCAAAAAGGCGTTAAGAATTGTTAACCTAATCCTACGTAGCTTTTTCTATGGTAATATCATACCACTAACTAGGGCATACAAAACATTTGCTAGACCAATACTTGAATACAGCTCATCAGTCTGGAACCCACATTACGTATCTGATATTAGCACAGTTGAGAAAGTCCAGAAATATTTCACAAGAAGAGTTCTCCACTCCTCTACTCGTTGCAGAATACCTTAGGCCACCAGACGTGAAATTCTAGACCTAGAAAACCTAGAACTACGCTGTCTTCAGTCCGATCTAAGTATGGTATATAAAATCATAAATTGCAATGTCCTACCTGTCAATGAATACTTCAGCTTCAACCATAACAACACAAGAGCACACAATAGATACAAACTCAAGGTTAGCCGCACCAAACCTGATTGCAGGAAATACAACTTCAGCCACAGAGGGGTCAATGTCTGGAATCCTCTACCTGACTCTGTGGTTTCTTCCCCAAACCCCAAAAACTTTAACCTTGGACTTTCTACTATTGACCTCACCCCTTTCCTAAGAGGCCTGCAGGGGGATGTTCTTAAGCACACCAACGTGCAAACCATCCCTGTCCTTTTGTTTTATTTTTATTTTTCTTATATGTACCCATTTCATGTATTCATAACTATGTCTATACTTATACCTATTATCTTATAATTGCTTGAGAAAATAAATAAAACAAAATAAAGTCCTTGACTTACGACTACAATCGAGCCCAACATTTCTGTTGCTAAGCAACAGTTGTTAAGCAAGTTTTGCCCCATTTTACAACCTTTCTAGCCAGAGTGAGTCACTGCAGTTTCTATCGATCAATGAGATAAGAGCTGGAAGGGACCTTGGAGGTCTTCTAGCCTGACCCCACTAAGTTACAACACGGTTGTTAAGTGAATCCAGCTTTGCGTGCAAGGTCGCAAAAGGGGATCATAGGACCCTGGGACACCGCGACCGTCATTGATATGAACCAGTGGCTAAGTGACTGAATTCTGATCAGGTGACCATGGAGATGCTGCCATGGTCATAAGCATGAAAAATGTCACTTTTTCCAGCATTAACTTTGGCCAAGTTGAGAGCTACCATCATTCTTCGATCCCCTAGTGAGCGACACCCCAACCTCCCGTGTTTCTGAGACAACCTCAGAAATGTCCCAATGGCCTCTCCATGCGCCCAGCCCCCCCCATCTCTGGAGGGGACGCCTGGGGAGGGGCCCCTGCCTGGGTGCTGGAGGCTTGGCCCAAGAACAGGGAGGTCCAGGTGGGGTGCAGCTCCCTCCCTGACTTCCGCCTTTCTAAAAAGCTTGGCCCATCCCGGCTCACCACAGACAGGGGCTCTGAGGGAGGGGGCAGCACGGAGCCCCAGGCCCCATCACAGCCACGCCCGCCCACCTCTGCTTCGCCCCCATTTCTCCTGCTAGCGGGGGTGGGGTGAGGGCAGCCAAGCCCAAGGCCCCAACCGTGACCCTGCCCCTCAGGCGCTGCCCACCCGTCCCTCCCTGCGGTCAGGGAAGAAGGGTGGGAAAACCTACCCCGGACTGCCCCGGCGTCCTCTGAAGGCAGCTGCCTCGCCCAGAAGGAGCATCTGCCGCTCCTGAGCTCTGGCACAGGGGCCCCCCCACACCCGTCACAGCTTCCCTATCACGAAGGAATGCCTACGGAGGTCACGGTTGCCCCAAAGGTGCTTTTAGAGTAATAGTGTGAGAAGGGACCTTGGAGATCATCAAGCTCAACCCCTTGCCCTTGGAGGAGACCCGTATTAATTCCGATAAATGGCTGTCCAGACAAAAGTGGCAATTTTTTCCACGGATTAATTGTTCTGCTTGGAATTTTCTCCTTGATTCCAGGCTCCTTCCGTCCTTGATTAGTTTCCATCCATTGGAAGACGGCTGTCTCGCCATCCCTGGTTCTTCTTTCCACTCGACGAAGTTTAAACAATGTTTTTCTTTTCTTTTCCAAAAGGCAACTGGACTTTCTTGGGATTTTTTTCCCTTGAAAATGTTTCACTTCTGATCCAAAAAGCTTCTTCAGCTCTTCATCTTCTTCAGAACAGAAGCAGCTTCTTGGATGAGAAGCAAAACATTTTCCAATGTTTTTTGAAACCTTTTCAAAAAACCAAGAAAGTCCAGTTGCCTTTCCAAAAAGCCCCTTTGAGGCATATCATGAATTGTTTGCCTGTTAATGGGGGTGGGGACTTAGAATAGCTCTGCTTTTCCGTAGTAAAATCCAGAATAAACCTACCACATAGCAGGGAAGAACTGAATCAAAATGTCAATTAAGGAAGGCTCTTGTCAAGCCCCTGTCCAACGTGAAATCTTGACTCCCACAGAGTCTTACGAGATTCATTGTACGGAAAAGCAGAATTGTGGCAATTTGGAAGCTCCTATTCCTCAGTAAACACATGAAGTTGGGGTCTCTAACCCTTCCTATCTATCGTCGGGAGGAAGGATTCCTTGGATGGAAACCAGTTCAGGAGAATTACTGGGAAATGTTGGATAATGAGCTGATCAAAGGCCTAAACATAAACACGCCAAAGAGGAAGAGAAATAGCTTACGAGAATTCTCCAATAAACTGAGAAACCCAAAGGACAAGTTTAAAAAAAATGGAAAGGAGGCGCATAATAATCATAATGAAAGAAGAATATCAAGGTGCCAATGGGGCTGCAGGGATGGGGCTAAGAAGAACAAGAAGGCCGGGAAGGAGTTAAACCTTCCACAAATGCCCGGAAGAGTTTGCTGGGGGAAGAAGGAGGGAAGGAAACGGTTCCCTGGCTGGAGAAGATGACAAGCTGTCGATGGGCAACAGGAGACGACCAACTGCTTAATTCCTGTTTTGCACCTGCCTTGTTGCAGAAGGGCTCCAACCTGTCAGAAGGTGCGCTCTATGGGGCAGGAGAGAGAGGCCAGGAAGTGGCAAGGAAGGGCCTCGAAGCTTGGAACGGCTTCAGCCCACCAGGGCCAGATGGATCACATCCCAGGACGCTAAAGGAACTGGCAGATACAATCCTCACCACTCTGGGACTCTTGGGGCGTACGAGGGAAGGACAAGAAGGCCGGAGAAGAATTCAGATGGATCCAAGCATTAAAGCGGGGTGGGGGATGTTATGGGACGGGACAAGCGGACTCTGGGAAGCTACAGATTGATAGAAACACTCGAGA